ATCAGTTGGTGTAGCCAACAGCAATACTTACTTTATTAAATCTTTTCAATTAACCAGTAAATCAGAACACTAAATAATGTAATATATTGACATATGGGGAAATATATAAATATATTTTCTTTGCGTAAGGGTAAAAAGTTCAAATTTCACTTGTTTTGCATCAATNGCAAACCTAAGGCTCTTTGAGCCGGACACAGAGCCATCCTCAACAAGGTTGGACAGTGACACTGAAGAGGAAGACTCAGAGTTAGATGTTGATGAGGCCCAGGAAGAGCCCATTGACTGAAAGGGTTTAGCAAAAATGCAGAGGATTGCTTGAAGGAAGATGTGCATGTTTAATGGGACTTTTAGGAAGGAGAAGGGCTCTTTTCATTTAAAGTGGACCTATCATGCTATATTTGAATAATATAGTGTAGGACCATACCTATATAAGGCATATTTATACTTTTTATTTTTCAAAATACCAAACAGATCATGCATTTTAGTCATTCCTCATTTAGCTCAATTTAACACTGTCTTTGCATGGGCTGATTCTGTGAGAACAGCACCATCTACAGGCCTGGCATATGTACTACAGCGTCTCCAGCGCTTTGGAACGGCAATGTCCGTGGCAGTCTCCTCCTGATTGGTGGAGTTGGCCCAATAGCCGTAGCGCCACTTCTGTGACGTCGTAGAAGTGTTCAAATCTGGATCAGTCTGTATCAGATCCGTTGCAGTCCCTTTTTAAGAGATTTGGGTATGGAGGAAAATAGAGAGGGTTGTGTTTTCTGACACTTGGTGAGTTCCCTGGAACACCGGGGACACATATTCATGTATAAAAGACGTACAAAAGTGCATTTTGCATGATAGGTCACCTTTAAGCATAACAGTTCATTCAAAGGATAAGCTACAATTTGGTTCAAGGTCTACTCAAAAAAATTGCGAGTTAAGAGCTCTATGCTAAATAATTGGTATAAAATATATTATAGCGTTAAAACCTATTGGTTACCAGGCTTTTTTTTTTTTTTGACAAAATAAAACCTAACATGAATTACCAAGTTGGAGAATGTAGAACCAGGAAAATGCTGAAATTGCCGTCCTTGTCAATCGGATGTTGACAATTTCAGAGAGGTGGGTTGTGGCCAGTTCTCGTACAATACAATAAGACCCAAAACTAAGGATTTTTTAACTGGTAATATTCATTTAGTAACGAGTTTTTGCAATGGAGGAGTTTTTTTGTCAAACACCTCCGAGACTGACCAACACACATAAAAAATTTTCGGCGGCTGATTAGTTGACATTTATGCGAGGCCCGCGGTCCCCGAGTCGTCGCCCTCCACACGTTGGAGTGTTAACGTCGACTAACATTGACAAGTGGGAAATAACTGAGATTAAGAATCCCCAAAACTTTTTATTACCTGTCCTTGTGATAAATTTGTAAATCTAGCGAAAGGGTTGGTAAAAGATGTCGACCATATTATGTAAGACACGGAACATAGAATGTCAAGAAAGTTCGGACCTATGTAATTGCACAGCCTGCGTTGTACTTTGGTAGAAATTCGGCGCGAATAAAAAATTATAGGTCCATAGACCTGCACTGCCGGAATCTTCTATGTATAAGACAGTAAACCAAAAAGATTCTTAAAATATGTACCAGTTTCGAAATTCCCGCGTGGAGCCCGGGAAACCGGAATTACCCTCAGTTTAGGATGTCTCTGACTCTAGAACAAACGCACCACAATCCCAATAGTCTTAAACGTGTTAAGGGTATTACCTTGTAGTTCCCCAACCGATTGTAAGGAAAGGGACACGAAAGTTCACCACCGCACACGTATTCGTGCACAAGGTCATTTGTTGGGTTTTTACGAATAAGGCGCTCACGCCTTAACTTGTGATTGTTTTTCCTCTTTAGTATTAACCTTCTTACACCCGGGGACGCGAGCATGGACAAAATCCCGAGGGGGGTACTACGTCCTTCGGTCTTGAGCCCTGGTTCCCTCCGTTGCAAGGACACAGAGGACGACGGTTAGGCACTCCCTTCACCAGGGAGGACAGAATCTGTAGTAATCCACCTAATAACTTAGGTAGTGACCTGACGCGACGCCGGCGTGAGACCTGTTTTCTGTGTGTTCACCTAGTTCTAAGTTAGAGACCTAAGTACGAAATCGTTGTTCTCATTTGTCCGTCAGTCAGTTCCACAGTTATTAATGGCATGTGACTTTTGTAGTTCTAGATACTACACACCTGTGCTTGTTTGGGAGTCCATGACGAAAGAACACTTTTATGAACCTTAGACATTGACTACTTCTAAAATAGAAAACAGTCTCCCAGAGAGACTACAGCTGTGTACTTTGATGGAAAAGTGAAGTACATCCGCTTAAATTATACTGTCAAGACTACGTATATATCCTAGTCATAGTCACGGTAACTAGCCNNNAAATGTCATGTTTTTTTGTTTAATTTTGCATCGAATATTTCCAAAATTCCCCAGCTTAACTTCCCATGGAAACTTTCCGGAAATTTACCGGAAACTTTCCGCCCCTTTGCAACCCTCGTTCCCTTCAGAGGGAGTTTCACTCCCACACAATCATGTAAACGTAGAGGCACAACATAAAAACATAATAATAATAATAATAATATTAATAATGCATTACATTTTTAATTAGAGCGCTTTTACAGGTGCTCAAAGCGCTTTACAATTACACATTACACATATTAGACAAGACATGTAAGAGTCATTACTGTGGACAATACCCACAGGAGCAAATACGGGTAAAATGTCTTGCCCAAGGACACAACGGCCTGACGCAGTGGCGGCCGAGGCGGGATTTGAACGTCATGCACTGTGTTACATCAGATTGCTGTTGCTGACTGACTCTTGGGACTTCTGTCATTTACCAGGGCTTGACAGTAACGGTTGCCAGGTTGCCATTAGCAACCATTCAGAAAAAATGTCAACCACTTCTTGGCCTTTGGTTGATGGCAACCAAAGGCCAAGAAGTGGTTGACATTTTTTCTGAATGGTTGCTAATGGCAACCTGGCAACCGTTACTGTCAAGCCCTGGTAAATGACAGAAGTCCCANTGTGCCCCTGTGTTTTCTCCTCCCTCCTCACCTGTGTCTTGTTTGTGTGATTAGTCTTGTGTGCATTTAAGTTCTGGTTTTTCTGTCTGTCATTGTTGGATTGTTGTTTGTCTGTGACTGTGTTCACGGGGTAGTGTTCTGTTTGTCACCGTGTACAACCTTGAAATAAAGGTATTTTCTGTGTAATCTGCATTTGGGTCCTGCCTGCTTCACTCAACCCTGACAGTTGGTCGACTTAAATAAACACACATTCCAGAGACTAATGATTAGCATCATAAACACTGTAGGAGATCAGGACTAAAGCTTCACACTTAAGTGTTTGAGCAATGACTTCATCACTAATTATAATAAAGTCCCTCACCAGTAGAACATAAAAAGAGTTTCAGACTTCATCCACTATAACACATTGAAATAAAAGAGTGTACACATCTGTGTTGGTTGGTAACTGCATCCAAATAAAATGTCGGTTCGAAATACAACA